AACAATTGTTAAACTGTCCATTAATGCTATTTTTTTTTTACTCAAATGCATGAAACAACTTTCGATTCTATTCAGATGCTCAGTTACATACAGATCACTAAACTGAACATGGTAATTTACATGATGTTCTGAGGTAAAGAAATTTGTATCATCATATGCAAGCACAGGATTCTCTACTGGGCATTTGGGTTATTTTATTAGACATGTAGTTAACTCTAATACCAGACACAAATCCCAGTGGCCTACAAGAATGACGAGTTGCAGCAACAAGCCCCATGTTGTACAATGTCCAATAGCACTGCTTCAAAATTCTAGGCAGTGTGTGTTCTCAATGCTGTATCTATAGCAGTGTAGAGTTCTAAAAAAAAAGGAAAAAAAAAAAAGAAAATTAATGCATGTGTCCTTCTTTTCCAGTTCTAACAAGATCAACCCCACCAGCAATTTGGTTAACCTGCATATGAACATCAGTGCTGTGGCTCAGGTACAGATCAGAGGGTAAGTACGCTGCCATTTCAATTCATAACAGTAACCATTTGTTTCATAGCAAATCTTCCCACATATCATACTCTTAAGGATCTTATACACCAAGAACACCCAGGGCTCATAGGAAGTCTCTCAGGATGCAGCTACAAAGTACTTATCCTGTCACATAAAGCAGGACTGCCGGCATGGACCCCACTACGCTTACAGACGTTGGTGCAAATGCAGCACGGAGAAGCCTACACTGTGATAATAACACCTAGAGACAACTTTTTGTCTGGGCATTCAAACAGTGTCCACGGATGCCACTAATTCAAATGCTGTTTGGATGTGTGGGTCTGTTTGTGAAACCATCTACGCACTTAGTTCTGAATACCAAAGCAGAATCTGTTGGGTTTATTACTGGAGCGATGCAGCACATGTTTTATGGCAAGGCATGTGCTAATAGAGGACAGAGTGAGACCTTGTGAGAGAGGATGAGCGAGGGTTATGGCTATGATTGTGATTGAAGTTAGATCAGCTCATACTGTGGAGTTCTTGCATTCGTGTCAGAAGCAGGTGTCTGTCCATCCCCAGAGGGGATACTGTGTCTGTTATTGCAGCTTTCTGTAGTCTCACATACAGTTTGGTTTAGGACACTATAAAATGCAATTGGTTGATAAGAATCTCAGACTACCCTGTAAAACCTTTGACCTTGTCTCCTGTCCTGGCATTATGGAGGGAGTCAGCAGGATGTTCTTGTAAAGCAAGTAATTGTCCCAGATGCTTTTTGTCTGGGATCTCAGATTTCCTCCATCTCCCCTTCTCAGACTACAGCCCTGGACCCTACCCACGGTCAGCACGGCATTTACATAGCTTTGCTCTAGTTCTATGGGTCATCTGTTCAGATACCTCATCAGGAAGAGTGGTCTAAATGCCAGACAGATGGCATTGCTCCCTGCAAACAGAGCAAGACTCACTTCCTTGCTTGGAAGAAAAGGCCCATCCTTCAGGGGAAGTATGAAATTAAAATGCAGTCCCTCAGTGCTCTATAAAGATTCAGTAGGCCTTTATGGAAACATATTGCTCAACTCAGCTAATTCAAATGGATCTGCCTTAAATGCCTTTTGTAATGACATGTCCTTAAGAGTTCAGCTTTCAACTGCAGTGTTAATTTTGCCTAAAGGTAATACAGCTGATTGACTGGCAATAGTTACCATTTTAATTCTTCTTTTTACAGAGTGTCTCACCCTCCACAAATTGTTTTGCCACTTCAGAACTGGGAATCCAAAGATGAACCTACAAAAGAAGAAGAAATTGGTCCTTTAGTAGAACACATCTATGAGGTAAAAAATTTTTATGTATCTATAGGACTTGATGCTATTCCTCTTGAAATCCTGAGGAATTTGGGTCATTGGCTTTGTCTGCAACTAGATAAAGTGCAGAAGATGTAAATATTCTGACTTTAGCACATGGTCCATGTTTAATCTAGGAGTTCATAACTGCAGTACCTATTCATGTTAGTGGCAGAGACACTAGTTTGTGCTAGGAGTCTCTCTTTGTCATTAAGGGATCTCTAAATGCTTTAGATGTTTGGCAGAATTAGAAATAGTGCACAGAAGCTCGTTAAAGTCCATGTCAAGCACTTCCAATGGCTTCAATTAATTTGCATTAAAAGCTACGAGTGTTGTGACAGGAAAAATATATATTTCCTTTAACGTTTAGCTAACTTGAAAAATGTAGATACATAAATGTAACATTATCTCATTGCCCAGAAATTATTCTGTTGAAAATAACTCTTGACTTCTTTTGAAGTGTACATATTTGTCCTGTGTTTTTTAATTTTGTTTTTTTTTTTTCTGCTGATCATTCACAAATAAAAAACAGGAGAGGTTTTCAGGTTAGAAATAAGTGCTCTGAGTGTACTATATGGCATACAGGTAGTCTTCGGAATTCGATGGATGACCTGTATTTGAGAGGGTGAAACAAAGCGCTTCACGTGTGGTTATAATTCACAAAGCAGCACCTAGAAAAATATATAGTACTGAACTTAATCAACAGCAGAAGGTTAAAATTCTGCAAAACTGAACTGCAATGAATCAGAATATAAAATATAAATTATTGTTTGTAAATTCCTTATCTAAATGTATTTCTCTATGTTAAAAAACCTATAGTAAATCTTCCTATCATCTCATCCATTTGGACTGTTGGTAGAGCAATATAAGTGACTTCAAGCATACTTGAATAGTCAGAGAGGATAAATCATTATAAGGCTTTAAAAGCCTCTTTGGTCAAAACCTTTTACAGAAGATGCAAGACTGAAAGTGGGTTTTGCCTGATTCTAAATAAAGCCCACGAATCACAAAAATTCTACACATTTTAAAAAGCCATCTCCCTTTCATCTCTAGAGACTTTGAATAAAGGTGCCTACACTGTTCCTTTCTGTTTCTTTCGCTGTCATACCAGTGTCATCACACATCCAAAGTCACTGTGGGTATTAGATAGTTTCCAAACTGTAAACTGATAAAAGAAAACTACTAGCCCATATCTTTTTAATCTCTATTATTTTTATTTTTACTCATATTCCCAGAAAAAAAAATCTCCTAGGAGATTACTCTGGGAATGCTACTTACCTTTTTTTTCCTTTCAGGGAAACCTGAACTGAGCAGTTTTGAAAATAGTATTGTTAACCACACACACACAAAAAAAAAGATAGTTGAAGAGTCTACCAAAAACTTTCTATTGCTGCACCTTGAAATGTGTTTCTTTCCTACCCCAAAGATTCAGCAGCTATTTTCCAGTATTTTCTGTTAAAGCACATTGTACATATTTGCATAGTGTGTTTTGCTAGTGTGCTTTGTTTTGGGGACTGGGGACTGTTATTTTGGGTTTTAGGTAATTTCAGGTCTTTCATATATGGGAAAAATTGGGAAAATAAGGAGTTTTTAAATATGGATTCAAACAAAACAGTTTGGCCTCCCGGATAAGCCACTGGCTTTCTGGACACCATAGGAAGGTCCTGTCATAGGCTTCTCTATCAGTAAAATGGGAATAATAATTTATACCTTTTTCATAAAGCACTTTAGGGCTGTGAACATTAAGAATTTTAAAATATCAAAGTAGCGATTGCTGTGAGTTTTTTTGTCATTATTTGCTGCCTTGGAAGCTGTACACTGATTATATTTGTTTGACAGCTGCACAATATAGGACCAAGTACTATCAGCAGTACAATTCTCCATGTCAACTGGCCTGTGTCCAGTAGAGAAGAATTTCTTCTGTACATTCTTCATATTCAGACACATGGACCATTGCACTGTCAAACGAGCTCTCCTATTAATATAATGCAAATAAAGGTAAGTCGCTCCCTATCATTTCCATCCCCTTCTGCACTTTGCTTGATTTTTTTCTGCCTCCCACTTCACAATGCGTTGGAGCTTGTAAGGAACTGTTCCCAGTGATCCTCAGGTGATTTTCCCGGGGAAGAAGCAAGTTATTTATGTCCAGTAGTGGCTGTTGTGCGATATGTTTGGCTTCTATACTCTTCTTCTCAGAAGAAACTTGGTTCTTCGTACAGCTTGTACCAAAGCAGTACAGCTTTGTCAGCAACATGACAGGTTATTCCATTTTTCTGCTTCTGTAATTCCTGATTCTTTAATTATTTTAATCACAACAGCAAAAAGAAAAGAAAAGCAACCAATTCCCTCAGTGGTTTTCAAAGTGTCATTTCTAAGTACTGTTTACTGTCCTTATGATTTTTCCTTCCATAGATATGGTTCTTCTTTTATAGCAGAACTGCAGATCTCAAGTTTGGAGTAAACACAAACAAGGGGAAGCCTGGTAGCCGCCTCCTTGGGGAAGTATTGATACGCTGTTGCCTGAAAGCCTGTTTTAAGATCTGTGTTTGTGCTGGCAGATCCCCCCAAATGAGCTGGGTTTGGCTCAAAGTCAGAAGGTTTAGCGAAACACAGTGCTACATATTATCCCATTAAAACCAAGATATCCAATCTATTCAGTGTAACTGCTTCCAGATACTTTGGGAATAAACAACACATCTCGAGTTTAACCAGTAGTCTTTCTTGTGGGAAAGCTGTGATCCAACTGCTAAAACTGCTGTATATCCATGCCAGAAGGGGCTCACACTTAGTGTAGTGGATGAGCACAGAGGTGTCTTTCTAGCAAAGGGAATTTCTCATCACTGCAGTTGCTACAGCACAAGGCTTTAGTTTAACCTTGTATCACAATATAGACTTACAACAGTATAGAAAAACAAGGTTATACCATACTCATTATGGCTGATTTTTCTGTGTTTCATCCAAGAAGCCAAGAGAGATTAGGATTCAGCACTTTCATTTAGTTTCCACTGAGGAAGAAATGATCAATAGAAACTAAAAATAGCAATAATAAAAAAATCTATTTTATACCCAAAACACAACAAATTCAGAACTACATATTTTTTTTCTACACCATTTCCATCTATTTTTCAAAAGTGGTGAGGAGCAAGAAGCTCCACTGCTGCATTTGTATTTGCAAGTACATGGAAAGGAGTTCAGCATCCCTCTCTCCCTAGCTACTGCTTTCTATTCTAAATTTCACTTAAGCTGAGACAGAAGCATTATTGTCAGAAAGGGAGGGCTGTGTGGAAAAGAGCCATAGTTCTTGATGACATTCTCAGGCAATATATTTTGTGATTTCTTTTTAGCCTCTTGTGTTTGCTCTTCCTCTCCCACATCTAGCTTTCAAGGCACTGAACAGCATGAATATACAAATTAGGTGTCAAATATATAATGTTATCTATTGCTTCAGATGGGAACAGGATACAGAGGCAGCTTCCTCTAGGTTTTGTGTAAGCAGCAGGATGCCTGGCTCAGATTTCCAAAGCAGGCCAAGGACATTCCATGTCTGGCTCCTCCTGGCTTTCAGAACTAGCTCTCTTAAGGTACTTGCATCCTTTCCTATAGCGTATGCTTTCTGTGGGGGGCTGGGGACATGAATGGCTATTAAAATCAGTAATCTTGCAAAAGGTTGGAAGGGAGGCAAAGGAGGTGTCTACAGGCAGCTGTGCCTGATACCTGCAGGCTCACAAATGGCAGGGATAGTGTGAGTGGGGACCAGTGTCTCACCACACGGAGCAGCATGTTCACTGCACACCAACCAGAGCATCAAATCAACCTCACAGAGCCAGGTTCAAAACAAGCAAAAAGAAGTGGTGTTTTGTGCAGCAGGTATTAGATGTCCAGAACTTGCTGCCAAAGGAAGTAGTCAGGGTTAAAAGTTTACAAGGCTTTAAGAGGAAACTGGGCAAATCCACCTAAGAGAAACCCAATGCAAGCGAATAAATGAATAAAAACTTTGTCTAGATCAGGAAGTCCCTGAGCTGAAAATATTTGGAAGCTGAAAGTTATTAGGATAGAGTATCGTACATGCTTGTCCTATTCTGGACTTCTGGATTCTTAAGTCACTTGCTTACACATCCACTTAATGGCAGTGTTCATGAAGTTAGATAGACTTTTGGTCTGATCTAGTATTGCTCATGATTTTTTTTTCCCCAGATAAATACCAAAAAGTAGTTTTATGGACCTGTGTCTCTAAATATTGGCAGGACAGGCACTGGTTCCCAACTACGATAGCTGATACAGGGTGGCACACAGAGCAAATTCTGAATAGCAGAGAACTGCAGCACGAGTGAGACATCTGTCAGAGGAGGCAGCCAAGCAGCAACTAGAAGCCATGACACGGGTGAGGTACATCCAGCAGGGTGACATGTGGTAGCTGACCTCTTCCCTGTGCAGCAGAGCTCTCATCAGCATCTGTCAGTTCTGTGCGGAGACAAATGCCACGCAAGGCACTGCTCTGGAATGGTCCCTGGCCCCTCTTGCACTACAGCCTTTACACCAGGCCTCTTCCAAAACATTTCTGGTGGAATCATTCATTGCAGCAGAGCATATTGCCTGACTAGAAGAAAAGGATTGATGGCTTCAGGAATCACATTTCCTTATCTGTTTAAGGAACATATTGTCACTGCAATGCAGAGCTTTTTATGAATTACTTTGTATTTGCAAATATATGCAGAATATTGTGAGCTAATATTTGGCTTTTTCATGGTGTATCTTCCATTTAAATTCTTTGAGTAGTATTTCAGCTACAAAACAAGTTATTTCAGATTTCTGCAGCACAGGTCAAGCAGTAAGCCTGTATGTACATGGATAAGGATGCTCCCTGTTAATCACTGAATGCTGTTTTTGAACTTTTATTGTAATAATTCACTCCTGAAGATACTGATGCTCTAGAATCTATGAAAAAAGCATGTATAAAAGCTCTGCCTAATATTCAAAAGTTTCTATATAAGTATCGCTTGTCATCATATAATGAGGACTTTTTAAAAGACATATCATTATAATGTTCTTTTAGTTTGTCATCATTAAAGAATATGATGTACACAGGTGAAAGAATCCGGGAAGGAGAATTCCCACATATTATCACATTGAGAGGGAGAGGTTTACTAGCTCATTAATTGTTCCCTGTTCCCTCATTGCAGAAAGACAAGGTTAACATAATTAAGCACAAGAAAAAAAAAAGAATTTCCTTTCTGTCTACAGGGTTTTTCGGCAGTTAATAAATTGCAACATATTTCACTTTGCAGAATGCTTTTGACTGAAGATCTCAGCGTCAAAAAAAATTCCTTTTCAGTGCTGGCAAAATCGTAGGCATATTCTCATCTGAACTAATGCCATATTTCATTGCAGCACCTTTGAATTTATCCTGTTACAGAGAGCAGGAACTTACGCCGAGTGTCTAACAGAAACAAGCACAACAGTGATGTTGACTCCAGTGAAAAACAGAGAATGGAAAAAGGTTGTCTGCTGCAATTCCTCCAACTGGGCAATATCTTGCTGTGTTAGGACTAATCATGCTCCTAGCGGAAGACAGTATATTCTCAGGGCTATGCTGTTAAATTGAAAAACACAGCATTAATCCAAAGTTCAAGACTTCTGAGTAGGCATCAGATCTGTTAGAGTCTTTGTAAGGATATATCATTACCAATCTTTTTTTTCTTTTCTCTTTGCAGTTTGCTATCCCAGAAGACACCCCTGAACTAGCTGCTTTTTTACATAATTCCTCAATTCCCCATTACATCAGGAGAAGGGAGGTTGCAGTGGCAGAGCCTCAAAGGAAAAACTCTGCAAAAATGCTGGTGAGCTAACTGAAATCTCTGACCTGGGACTACACATACAGCTCAGTCCAAAAGGCTGTTGGTTTGATAGCAGCTGATTTAGAGGCATTTTAATGTTGTTCTACCTGCTTTTTAACCTCTCATTTTAAAATACTGTTTATTTTATGTATCACGGTGCCACAGGTTAAAGATTCACTTGATGGATTTTTGCATTAAAGATCTTGCAGGCCAAACTGCTGTCTGTCCTGCTCCTGGCTGAGGGCAAACAGACCCCATGGACCCCCACTCTCCCCTGAGGGCATTTCAGGGCAAATGTGGGGAACAGGCCCCTGTCCTGCACATAGCACATCGCTCTCTTATGGCCATGGTCTCCACTGGCTAAATCTCATTCTTTGACTTTGGAAATGCAGGTCTCCTTGTTAAGCCGACTGCTGGGGATCTGGCCCTTTCCTTAGGAGTAGCTCACACTTGAAATTAACATTTTCATGTGAAGTGATAGCTCTGACATGCAAGTACTTTGGAGTGTATTTGTTCCCCCACAGTAAATACTTACCATATGCTCCACATTGCTACCACAATGTTACTGGGAACACACTCACAAGTGAACCCGTTTCAAACTACAATCACTGCTGATTCTCTTACCAGCCTAATATCCTGCAAAGGACGTGACTGCACTGGGGCTAAAGAAAAAATGCATAAGGTCTTGAAGATATGCCGTTCTGTACCATAGAACACCTAATCCATTCTTCAGTAATGCCTAAGTCTCAGTTATCTTTATCAGTCATATGACTCATATGCTGCCAACGCAGAAATTACAGCAAGAACTAAGAGTGGTTTACCAAGTTCATAACCATATACTGTGTCTGCAACTTATTACTCACTTCAAAATATGAGTCAGAGATCTTTCAGCTGTTTGGTCTAGACAGACACTAGTCAACGGAGTACACAGAAACATAAAATTGGCCTCTGTGATGAGCAGTCTTCTAGGATAATATGGTTTTGATAAGCACAAATTGAGATAGGGCTGGGTTCAGTGCCTATCACTGCACGTATAGCAGGGCTTTCTGTTCAGGATGGACACAGGAAAGCAAGCCAATATATCATTTGTTCAGTGAAGTGGGTCACCCAGTTCCATATGTCTTCAGCATTATGTACTACAGATCAAAAGATGTTATTTTTTGACTCAGTGAAAGTATTCATGGAAGGTGAACATTGTCTCTGAAAATGATTGGTCCAAAAATTATTTTGGTCAAATTTTTTCTTTTTTTGGTCAGAAGCTTTAAGATATATTTGTTTTCCTCAAAGCCAGCAAAAGGACAAGGGGTAATGGGCACAAATGGAAACACGGGAAGTTCCATCTCCATGTGAGGAAGAACTTCTTTACTGTGAGGGTCACAGAGCCCTGGAACAGGCTGCCCAGAGAGGCTGTGGAGTCTCCTTCTCTGGAGATCTTCCAAACCCACCTGGATGCCGCCCTGTGCCACGTGCTCTAGATGTCCCTGCTGGAGCAGGGGGTTGGACGAGATGGTCTCTAGAGGTCCCTTCCAATCTCAACCATTCTGTGATTTTCACAGAGAGGAAAAAAATACTCTAAGAAGCTCTTATTCTACTTACACTGTTTATTAAACATTTGATTTCTGTTCCATTAATTCTAATGTTAAAACGTTCTGGAAGGGCTAAATCCATTGCTAAAAAAAAAGTAGAAGTACATGCTTAAGTCCTAAAATGTCAGCCAAAAATAGGCTTTTTGCATACTAATGATTTATTTTGTTAATACAAGTTTTTGTCCACAACGATTAGCAAAGACAGCCCTTCTCATTCTTGCAGGATAAGTAAATCTGGCTAGAGAAAGTTTAAATATGAAAAATATACAGAAATAAACAAATAAAATAAACAAATCCTCTGAAATATTCATTTTAAACAAAGTTTTAAACAAGGTTTATAGTTGCAAGTTTCCAAGTTTACAGTTTCATTTTCAGGAGGATTTAGAAAACAGTGATTAAGCACATAGCTGTTACATAGAGATTTGTGGGGAATGCTGTCTGTAGAGTTGCAGGATTTCTTAAGGATGTTTCCAGATCCCATATGTCCCTCACCGTGACAGTTTCTGAAATGCAACCCTCGGTAGAGCAGCCATTGTCACTCTCCTTAGGGGAGGTACCTGTGAGAGCTTGCTTTGCTTTCAAGGTCACAAGACTTTCTCTCATGAAGGTCAATATGAGGGAAGGAAGGTCTACTTTTTTATAAAAATGTGACTCAATTAAACTCCCAACCTTTTACCATTCAGTTAAAGAAAAACATTTGTATATGTACATTTATACATTTTTCAGAACCATGGCACACCTTTAATTATTTCTTTAAGAGAACTGCCTTCTTTCCTGTAA